AACTTTACTAATGATAACAAAAAATTTTTTTGATTATAAATATCTTTTTTTTTAATGATGAAATATTCAATTTCTTAATCGTAAACCTCTTCATTTTATACTATTAAATTTCGTAAAAATCCTATTCATAAATCTTATTATAAAGTTTTTTTTCTATTATTTTTTTTTTTCTATTTTTTTTTTTTTTTTTTATTTCATACTATAAAATTTCGTAAAAATCTTATTCATTATAAAGTTCTTTTTTCTATTTTTTTTCTATTTATTTTTTTTTATTTTTTTTTTGATATAAAATGGATGAAATCTGTGAAACTATACTATCACAAAAAGGTAATAACAAAATAAATGTCCACAGTTACTTGATGACAAAGGAATCCTGCCATAAGAACAAATATTATTGGGCTTGTAATAAAAATAAAGACAAATGCAAGGGTTGAGCAGTTACACATCTGTATAATGATATATATTATCTCAAAAAATTTACTGAGTATGATATTCACGCACCTGAAGCACATAATGCCGAAGTTGCTAAATTTTTTTCAGAAATTAAGCGTTAAGCTCGAAAAACAAAGGATAAGCCTGCTAAAATAGTACAAAACAACATCATTAATGCACCTGAGGAAATAAGATCTTATCTTCCTTCAATAAATGCATGCTGTAGAAAAATCTATCGCATTAGGCAAGCAGAATTACCACCTCAACACCAAAATATTACAGAATTTGACATACCAGATTCTCTTCAAAATACTTTGAATGATAATCTATTCTTAATTAATGATCAATTAGTTAGTTAGTGTTAAATTCTCGTTTTTACCACATTGGAGAACATTCAATACTTATCTCGTGCCCCATTCTGGATTATGGATGAGATGTTCGATACAGTGCCTACGATCTTTTGCCAGTTATATTCAATCCATGCACCTGTTGGTGCTACAAGTAATTTCCAAATCCTCCCTCTCGCATATGCATTAAAGAACAATATAACTGGTTGTTTGAAAGCTTAATAGATTTTGCCAATGAAAATAAAATTGATCTTAATTCTTCAAGAATTATTACAGATTTTGAAATTGCTGCTATAAATGCATCATGATGCATATTTCCCGGGGTTATCAACAAAGCATATTTTTTCAATCTAGGGCAAAATGGATAGAAAAATACAGATTAGCAAGTAAGAATAAAGGCAATTTATATTTATATTAATATTACGTAGTATATATACTTATCTGTTATCTGTTACAAATGTATCTGGTACGTACATATGTATAAGGTACCGGTACATACAGTATTTGTAAAATTTACAAAATTAGAAACATCAATAAGCCAAATATTTAATTGTCATACACTATGTAGTGCAATTTAAAAAATTTTATGTATAACTAATCTAACTTATTTTTGCAATATAGGCAAATACAGAAATAATACATGCTTTAGTATCAAAGTACGATATTTATTTGCATTAGCCTTCCTACCTCCTGGTGAAATCCTGAATGCATTCAATATATTAAAACCACAGATATCCGAAGAAGCAAGAGAGCTAGTTTTATAGTTTGAGGAAACATATATTCTAGGCAAACTTAGACGAGAAATGAGAAATAGTCAAGAAATTCATTTTGTATCTCTTTCTCCCAATATATAACTGTTTAGATTTAGGTATCCCTTGAACTCAAAATGTAGTTGAGAGATGGCATAATTGGTGGGCAATATTAGTAGGCAATTCTCATATTGGTGTATATACACTAATTCAAGAACTACAAAACGAACAGCAAATTGTTGAGGCTCAGATTGATCATATTTTTCATGGTGAATGTTATCCTAAACAAAAAAAAAAACTAATTGAAAGAGAAAAAAGAATAAGATCTATTATTAATGATCGGGATAATCGCTTATTAATAGATTTCTTAGATGGGCTTACACACAACCTATCTATTTAATTTTATTAATTACATGTTTATAGATCGTGCAATTTTGCTTATATTTTTGCTGCTATTATTATTTGCTACCTGTAAGAAATTTTAGATATTGCGATAATCTTAATGTAAAAATCAAATTTATAATTGAACAATTTAATATTTCACATTGGTAATAATGAGTAACTTTTAAAATAATTTACTTTATTAAATATTAATTAATGTTCTATATTTATTCTATTCTTGATTAAAGAATTTTAGATCATTTGAAGATACCAGATTAACTAATCCTAAATATGCTATCACTTCTGAGGTATTTATTTTATTATAAATATCATTTAAATAAATAATATTCAATTAATCAATTTTATTATTTTTTATTAGGAACCCTAATTCAGTTATTCGATCTACTTAGATTACAAATAGTAGATTTACTAATTCTGGTAATTATTTTATAACTTATCCACTGGCACATAAGTCCAAAGAGTGGTAGTTTTATCTAGTATTTTACTAGAATCAGACTATTAAAATTATTATTAGGCAGTGATCCACAACTATAATAGATTATTTTTTTTATTGGGCTATGCGATCTTTTACTTTATTAGCTATTTTGACTTTTTTTAAAAATTTTAGTAGGTTGAACCAGATCTGTTATGACTTTGATTTTTTTTAAATTTCTAGTCAGTTGGAACAAAGCTATTACCGGTGCAGTGAAGATAACTTTTTTTTAGAATGTAGTCAGTTGAGCCAGAATAGTTAAAGTGAAGATGATTTTTTTAAAAATTCTAATCAATTGGGCCAGATTTGTTATAGCGAAAGTATTTTTTTTTAAATTAAGCTAGATCTATTTCAATAAGGATAACTTTTTAAAATTCTAGTCAGTTAGAGCCAGAACTCTTATAATGGTAATTTTTTTAAAAATTTTAGTCAGTTGGGCCAGATTTATTATGATGATGGCGATTTTTTAAAGATTTTAGTTAGTTGGGCCAAACCTATAATAACGAAGGTGATTTTAAAAAATTCTAGTTATTTGGGCCAGAACTCTTACAGTGAAAGTAACTTTTTTAAAATTTTAGTTAGTTTGGTCAGAACTATTATAGCAAGGGTGATTTTTTTAAAAAAAATTCTAACAAACTCTTTAAAATTCTAGTAAAGTTAGACCAAAACCAAAACTATAACTATAGTAATTTCTTTAAAAATTCTAGTCAGTTGGACCAGAACTTTTTTAATAAAGATAATTTTTTTTTTAACATTCTAGTAGGTTGGGCTAGATTTTTTTTTTTTAAAATACTAGCTAGTTGGGCCAGAACTATAACAATGAAGGTGATTTTTTTTTTAAAAAACTTTAGTTAGTTGGATCAGAACTCTTAATAAAATAACTTTTTTTTTAAAATTTCTAGTAGATTGGGCTGGATCTATTATAATAATGGTGATTTTAGTTGGGCCAGAACTTTAATAGCGAGAGCTATTACAATGATAGCGATTTTTTTTAAAAAAAATTCTAGTTAGTTAGGTCAGGACTATATAGTGATTTTTTAATAGTTGGGTAGAACTCTTAAAATGAAGAGGTGATTCTTTTATAGTGAAAATAATATTTTTTAAAAATTTTAGTTCTGTACTAGTTGAACTAATTCTATCATGATAATTTTTTTAAAAAATTTTAATTGGGTCAAAACTCTTACGGCAAAGATGTTTTTTAAAAAAAACTCTAGTTAGTTGGACCAGAATTAAGGTGATTTTTTTAATCAGTTTAGCCAGAATTACTATAGTGAAGGTGATTTTATTATTATAGTAAGATAAGACCAGAACTATAATAACAAAAAATTAAACAATAAAAAACTTTAAAATTATATAATATCAGATATAAATTTAATATAGCATTTATTTTTATATAATATATAACTGTTGTACGTCGAAATCGAATTATTGTGGATTCTTTGAATTTACTTATGCTGTGTATTTTCTTATAGTCAGGTTAAAGCTGCTATAAGAATTCAAATACAATAAGAACTTAATTATTAAACTCTGCCTAATTAATCATTTAAACTCTTGTGATCTAATAAGTAAAAAAACAATTTTTTAAGTAATTAATCATATTAAATTATATTTAAAAACTGATTTTACAAAGTTAAAGTCTTCTTATATTTTCGTTGAACATATAAAGATAAGTATACAATAGTTATAAACTTACACTAAAAAAAAATGATTTTTTTATTAATATCTTGCAAATAAGTGGATTTTTTTGAAAATTGTTCATAAAATATAAAGTGGCGCTCCAAAGCCAACAGATCTCATTTTCCTAATATTTAATAAAGTATTAAATGATCTAGTAAATGATTTTGTTTTCTTCGATTCTTCAAAATGTAAAACAATTGCTACAATCTTTTAAAAACATAAAATGCAAATGCAATTACACTAGAAAATTTTACAGATTTTATTTTGAATACTCTTCTGGAAGACTATAACTTTGATTATTTATTTTAGCAAAAAGTTTTATAATTTTGAATCCAGGACACAACAAAAAAAAAATTGTAATCATTTTTAAAAGGCAATAGAATATTCCAAATACTTAGAAAAATTGTAATAATAATATTTTTTGTTTGTTCAAGTTTTGAAGTTAAATGACTTTGGTACTTGATATATTTGTCATGTGATTACCAAACTATTTAATTTTACTCCGGTCAGATGTCTTTGTTCAAAGTTCCTGATTTCAACTCTGATTTTTGACTAGCATTAGTAACTCTTATTAATCGAAGTTTATACCATACATTATATATACTAAAAGATCTTTGCACTTTAGCTTGTTAATAATTGTCGCGGTTTTATATTCTGAGTAATACAGTATAACCATTTTAAAGACTTTGAGTTATTTATTATTATACTGTAATTATTACTTATGTGTATATATTATACTTTAAACTATATATTAACTCTACGGCCTACTCTACTACTCATTTTAATTTATACATATTATTTATTCACTATCAGAGTTACATATAAAGAATAGCTCTTCCCAATAGTAATACCAACTTAATCTTTTAATATGATTCAAAGTGTTCTAATAAAACATTTTTACCTTCAGAATTGATATAATTTTTATAGAGAGCTTCCCAATAAATTGTCAAGAAGTGCTTTATTAACAGATAAAGATTCAAGATTTTCACATATTCTTAAAAATATTTTAGTCAAAGCACATTTGATTATATGGGCTGGACTAAAGAAACACACAAATTCATCGAGTTCTTCATATTCATAATCTAAGTTCGATTCAAATAATTTTTTTTGATAGTAAGATCTTCTTTGCTAAGCTATTTATTGATTCTAAAGAGCAAATTAAAACCGTTAACCAATTAGTAGTGTAACAAAATACTATAAGTTTTCTAGGCCTTTGAGCCAGAATGTCAAGAGTTCAAAAATTAAAGAACTCCCGAGTAGTTAAAAAAGTAGAACAAACCAGAAAGTTTATATTAAGTAGGATAAATGATAATTGTTTCTACTATTTAAATAATTCTTATAACAATGTAGAGTTCTTTTGTATCTACATTTTTCTAGTGGTTTACTTTACAATATTGGTATTGTATTTCTATACTAATAAAGATTTTCAATATATGAAAAATAGGCTTCTATTGTCAGTACAAAGATTTTTGAATTAGAAAAGTAGTTTTTTTTTTGAGCTAGTATGGCACATGAGTGTTCACTGTCAAGTTTGAAAGTTTGAACATTTAAATATTTTATTAATTATTGTCCAGGAGACACTTAATATTTAGTAAGGATGATACAAAGGTTACGTTATTGATGCACCAATAGTTACATTATTGATACACCAATAGTTACATTTTTGATTAAAATTATTAGTTATCTTATAATTTTGTATCAAAAATGTAAATTTGAGAATCCACGTCTGTTCACACATGTAACTAAAAAACACAATACAGTAATAGTATAATTAATAATACTGTAATACATATTACACATCATTTTTTAATTTATTTCTTAAAATTTTCACATTATTGCATTTTTTTAAAAAATTCTAGTAGGTTGGGCCGGGTCAGAACTACAATAGTAATGTGATTTTTTTTTAAGAATTCTAGTAGGTTGGGCCAGGTTAGAACTACGATAATGATGGTGATTTTTTAGAATTCTTATAAATTTTTATAGGTTGGGCTAGAACTTATATAACAAAGCTAACTTTTTTTAAAAAATTCTAGTAGGTTGGACCGGGTCAGAACTATAATAGTGATGTAATTTTTTAAAAAATTCTAGTAGGTTGGACCGGGTCAGAACTACAATAATGATGGTGATTTTTTAGAATTCTTATAAATTCTTATAAGTTGGGCCGGAACTATTTTAGTGAAAGTAATATGCTAATATTTGGTTAAGGTTTTACCAGTCACGAAGCTATATTTTTATAAATTTATAAGATAAAGAAAAAAACTATATAGTGAATAATAGATCGGTTCAAGTATATAGTAATGAATAATTCATTATTAATATCAACATAATTTTTATTAGTCATAATTATTATTATCAGTAGTTTATTATTATATTAAGTCTTATAGCTAAAATAGTTCTGGCCCAATCTATAAGAATTTATAAGAATTCTAAAAAATCACTATCATTATCATAGTTCTGACCCGGCCCAATCTACTAGAATTCTTAAAAAAAAATTACATTACTATTGTAGTTCTGACCCAGCCCAACCTACTAGAATTTTTTAAAAAAAGTTAGCTTCTCTAAAATAGTTCTGGCCCAACTTATAAGAACTTATAAAAATTTCAAAAAATTACTCTCATTATCATAGTTCTAACCCAGCCCAACCTACTAGAATTCTTAAAAAAAAATCATATTACTATCATAGTTCTGACCCGGCCTAACCTACTAGAATTTTTTAAAAAAAGTTAGCTTTGTTAAAATAGTTCTGGCCCAACCTATAAGAATTTATAAGAATTCTAAAAAATCACTATCATTATCATAGTTCTGACTTGGCCCAACCTACTAGAATTCTTAAAAAAAAATCACATTACTATTATAGTTCTGACCCGGCACAATCTACTAGAATTTTTTAAAAAAAGTTAGCTTTGCTAAAATAGTTCTGGCCCAACCTATAAGAATTTATAAGAATTCTAAAAAATTACCATCATTATCATAGTTCTGACTCGGCCCAACTTACTAGAATTCTTAAAAAAAAATCACCATTACTATCGTAGTTCTGACCTGGCCCAATCTACTAGAATTTTTTAAAAAAAGTTAGCTTCGCTAAAATAGTTCTGGCCCAACCTATAATAATTTATAAGAATTCTAAAAAATCACTATCATTCATCAGCAAAAATAAATAGGCGTAAACCTCCGCAAGTTTTTACGCGAGCGTAAACTTACGAAAATTTACGATTAG